GGGGATGGGGGAGAAAAACAAATTAAAATGAAAAAAATAACAGGAAAATCAAAGCCTTCTGTCTCTTCAAAGTAGTTGTCAAGAGCTTTAAACGCTTGTGCTTTCAGTGTACACCCCACAGGAAAAAGCAACAACAAAAATAACAAAAAAAAGGACCTAAAATTAAAAAAAAAAAAAAAGAAAAATGTAATAATAATCCTAGTAGTAAAAAGGACAGCAAATCACTCCGAGTTTGTTTGTCTTTTTAGTTATTTTAGCAGCCACCCTTTTTCTCTGCAGAGGGAGAGCTGCCACCACAGCCACCTCCTCGGCTCGAGAGAGGCTCTTCAGCATCGTCCTCGTCAAAGCCATGAAAGGTCGAGGTGTCGCTTTCTGACGTGGAACCGAACAAGTCCTCCGTAGTGCGTGCTGGCGCTGCTTCGTCCCTCCTGCCTTCTCTTCCCAAATGAGCTGACATGTATGATGAATATATCAGCACATGGGTTAAGCAACAGGCATCATCATAATAATTTTTTTAACCATCATTATTATTATTAAACAATTCAGACTACTGAGCTCAGAGGTGTGTGCCTGTGTGTGCCCGTGCACCCCAACAACATAGCTCGGTACAACTGCAGCAAGAAAAATAAAAAAAGGATTGGTTTCTCTTTCAAAGAAAAATAATCTACAAACAACACAGGTGCCCACAGCTATGGCAGCGAAAGGGTTAATCATGTTTTCCTCTCTTCGAAAGACATTAAAATATTTCCTCGTGATTACTTAGATCAATTTTAAAAGATTTTTTTAAACCGCATAAGTAATTAGACACCGTTAGCTCTAAGCACAATGACTGTCCTTCAGACTGGCATCAACTGTCACAAATTTACTGCTGTAGAAATGTAACCCACTAGACAGCTCATCAACCTCAGGACTATTTTTCACCCCTGTCCCTCACCTGGTCCTAAAAAGCCTCCTCTGTAGACAAAATGAAATACATTTTCAAGACCAACTGGAAGTTATCCTAAACAAATGCTTTTATTCCAATTTCATGGCATCTCCTTCAAAAATAATAATAATAAAAAAAAAAACCAAACCAAATATATACAGTTCATCAACTAAAACAACTAAGATGAGAAGTGACCTGTCTTGGGAAACATTGTAAAGTTCAAATATGTGTGAGTCAATCCAACTTTCAATATGGAACAGGAAATTCTCCACACAGGACATCAGTAGCGTCAACAACAACAACAACAGAAAGAAGAGTCTTAAAAAGAGGTCACATACTGAAATCTGCAAAACTGAGGTTTATTTTCTCCCTCAATCAAACATATTATGTGATTAATAGTATAGTCTCCAAATTCCCTCTTCAGGAAAGCTAGAGAAAAAGATGTCTCTTGTGCCCCAGCAAAATGAAAGTGTGAGATTTTAGGGAACGGCTGTTTAGTTATTCAGAAACAGTAGCATGGTATTAAGTAACCAACTGTTTGGCCCCTGCTCCAGCTACAGAAATCAGCCATATAACAAGTACACTGCGTTACTCGAGACACAAAGAATTAAATCCTGTTCACAAAAAGAAAATGGATATAACAAAATAATTGGCAGATGAACCACCTTGTAGAGATGTGATTTTACTGACTTTGTGAGTGGAAGAAACAATATAATTTCCATGACCTCTCTTTCAGTCTAATGAAAATGTTCTCCATTATCGAGAAAGATGGCAGCCACCAAAGAGGTTTCATTGTTTTAGTTCAGAGATTAGTGTGTGGTTGTACCTTAATCACTTTCATCACACATCAGTCACAGCATTGCAGACCCTTACGAACGACCCAGGTGAGTTAGAATTTGTACAAGAATAGCATTTAATGGAACTGATTTTGCACAATTTAGGTCACATACCGAACTACTTGTTCTATCACACTAAGGAATCAAGGGAATTAATGTATTTGTGTTACATTCTGATATAATCACCATAGCGAAGTTTAAATAGCAAAAAAATATGGATCCGACTCACTGTGCTGTATCAGGACAATGCTGCAATGAGTTATATTGAACTACAACAATCAAGGGGAAGGGCAATGATCTTCCAAGATGGCACCACAGACCCCATAAGCTTCCCCCTTCAGTTATTAAGAAGCAAACACGTATACACTGAAAGGTCCATGCCCCTGACTGCATAGCATTCGTAAGGATGCCCCTGGAGAAAACCAGATCGGTCCTCTGATGACCAGTCAGCATCACTTCAGAGTGATCTTCCAAGGTCACAACAACCACACAAGGCAATTTCTCAGTGAGACTCTAGTCCTGATCCCACTGAACGTGACAAAAGGCTTACTAAGAATTTCATCAGGAGCATAAAAAGGCCATTCCCTTGGCACGAGAACACTTCCCATCGCATTTCAGCCATCACGCAACAGACATCTTTCCGTGACTACAGTACAGAATAAGCAGCAGCAGTACTGAATTTCAAGGTCTCTTTGGTTTTCAGATTTCCATAGGATGGTCTTATCACCACTAGTATCACCACTGACCAGATATATACCAACTGGAAACTTGGACCAAAGCTGGAATATGCAGTTGTTAAAGGTCTCCCATTCCCTCTACCACCACCACCACTTCCCATGTGAGCTATAAATAACTGCTCAGCTGGGATAAAATTTCCCCAAAAAAACTGAAAGGGGCAGGGGGCGGGGGGGAAAGAAAGCAAGAAAAGAAGAAAGAAAGAAAGAGAGGAAGAAAACAACAGTCCAGAAATAAAGACAACTCAGAATGGGAAAACCACAATTGCCTACGTTGAAAAAGAGAGAAGGGAAGAAAACGGAGAAATAAAAACCTCTTTAAACAAAATTAATGATAGTCATCTTGTAAGAGGATAATTCTTGACAGCTACCCCCATCCCTACCCTGTAATTTCCTCCCTCTTTCTTTTTTGGATGAAGAAATGCATGAAATGTGTAATCAATGGAAATGCTTGTCATGCAACTTTCATAAATCTTGTAAGTAATTTATAGTTGTAATTGCAGCATTTGAAGACAAAGCCCATTCTTTAATATTGTCGTAGGATTTTCTCCTTCCATCTGAAGAACGAGTACATGTACCAACGTTCACAGAAGCCAATAAATACATTAAAACTTTATTCTTTCATAAGACCCCATTAGATGAAAAATGTGAATCCAACAATGGGTTTTATGACAGAAAATATCCCAGTCATCCTTTCCCACAAACACAGACAAGAGATAAGACTTCGTCTTCTACCCCCTCCCAAACGTCTTGAGTTTCTTCGAAATCTTCAGAAGGAGCAAAAAACGAATCACACAAATGCCTTTGTACAAGAAAGATGCAAGAAGGAGTCACCTACCAGAGCGCCCACAGTCTGAGCACGATACAAGTTCCTCAGGCCGGCCACTTTTTTTGTTCATATTGGAGCCTCCGAGGCAGAAGTCACAGTAGTTATTGGGAATGATGACCCCGTCTGGTCCTTTCTGGGCTGCAGTCGGGTTAGAAACCAGATTTACTTAAGGAGCATTCAGTGTGGACATTTCCCCCTTCTCCTTGATATGATGTTAGCTCAGTTTGCAGGCCACAGTCTTCCCAAAATATTGCCAATCAGAACAAAAACCGAACTGTATAAACCACTGCCATTTTAAGTAGACTTTGTGTTGTATCTATTTTGCCTGGAACACAGTTCATCATTTCCTTTACAATCCCAGCTGGGCTGGTCACTCACAAGGACCTGCTGCCAGAGATTCCTGCACAGTTCTGGGACTCCATAACACGTATAGGCATAGAAACAATCCCTAATGCAGAATCAAGACCTAAGCTGTCAGTGAGCCAAGCCTGGTTTTTCCGACAGCAGTCAATTCATAAACCCACAAAATACAAATTCAGAAATGAAAAAATACATTCTCTGAAACTCCAAACCCAACAGCAGGAAGATGGGGGGATAGGTACCCTAACTGGTTTTATTTCAAGGAGCTTTTGGGGGGATTAAATCTCAAATTGGCAGGGCATCCTTAGTCAAGAAGTTGGCTCAAATGCCCACCAGCAAAGCCTCTCGTGGGTGGTTCACCCAAGGGTTAAGCTACCTGCAGCAGCAGAGTGCAGGTCCTCTGGGAGGAGGGGGGGGAAACAGGGTCAGCAGGACTCCAGCACCCAGCAAGGGTGCGAGGACTCAGCCCGGGGCAGATGGCCCCGCTGGTGGAGTTAAAAGCTCTTTCAGGCAAGAGAAAAGGAGGGAAATTACATTCTTATTTTCCAGCTAGGAATGGTTGGAAAGGAGCAGGCACACAGTAGGTGTTAAGAGGAGGAGGAGGCGGTTCCCCTTGAAAGGAGGGAAGGGCAGAGGTCTTCTGCATTCCTCATAGTTGAGCAGAAGAGCAACATGCTTTTTGTCTCGCTCACAACTGCCATTTTCTTCCTCTGCTCTACAGAGAGGCCTGCATGCTCTAACTAAGGAGTGGGGGGAATGGTTGGTCTTCATCTTTGTTTCTCCTTTTTTAACTTAAAAATTCCATTGGCATACCTGGCCTAGTCCTAGCCCATGAAGATTTCTACACGCTAGAAAATGAAGACCTTTAAACTGTACCATCTATATTTAATTAACTTTTTTAATGCATATTTTGTAACTTGCAGATTTTTAACAGATGTTTTGACAGCATTTATTAATGGTCTTTTTGTCCACATCCAAATTTCTCCCAAAGAACAATGACATTCTAAAGGGTTTCTGGTAGCAGTCCAAGACATACACTTAAAATTAAAATTTCCTCCGAGTTCAATCTGCTTCTCTGGTTTGGGTGCATCGAGTTATTCATTTACTTCCAGCTGTTGATTAGCTGAGATTTTTGGAGACTGGTAACTGAAAGATTGCAGGAAAGGTGAAATTAAGAAAATAATTAAAACCCATAAGGCTGCAAATACATCAATATCTTCTTGCTTGGCGACTGAGTCCCCGACAGCATTTGCTAAATAATGGGCTTTGCTCTGAAATGGTCCTGGTTAGCAGGTGCCCAGCTCTCCAAACCAGAGAGAAGCTCCCAGGGTTAGGTCAGCATTTTGCCTGTTTGCAGAGAGGCATTTAATACGTGCATGCAAGATAAGCAAAAAAAGACAGGAACCAGGTGGAAGCCTAGTGCACTGGCCCATTTTTAAGAGCTGCAACAAAATGATCATAAAGTTGCTACTTGTACATATTTTGTGTATAAAAAGCAGATCTCACTAGCATTTATTTTTCCCACTACAGCCCATTCTGGAAAAGTTAAGTAATTACTTCTTTATATTGTGCTGCATCTACAGACAGGCCACGTGCAATGCAAACTCAGCAAGCTCAGTGTTCAGTGATTTTTTTTATTTTCTTATGTTACTTCACCTTTCACCCGAGTTTCTTAAAGTGCCTTACAGATAATAAGATCCTGATATTAACCCTCAGTGAAGTCAAAAGCTTCATTTGCCATTGACTCTAACCAAAGTGTTGCTGGGCCCTTATTAAGTCTTGTGGTGAGGAGGCAGCATTACGTTTTACAGCTGAAAGACGTGGAAGTAGAGTTATGAACTGACTTGCTCATGAACACACAACAGTCCATGGTGAGGCCACAAATAAGAACAGCTTTCAAGGCACCAGTCAGCGGACGTAGGAGAGACCTCTACTTCTAGCCCTACTCAGAACGGTATCAGTGATTTAATACTCCACATATACGGACTTAAGATTTTTCCAGTGAAGCTTGCGACGATCCACTGACTGTCAAACTGGAAATGGGACAGGAGACCTTGTGAAAATACATTAACATGAACAATTCGTCTGTGGTGTATGGGACAGGTGGAGGGTTTCCACAGACTAGTAAAGCTTGAATGGATTCTCCTAGACTACTGGCAAGGGAATAAGAATGGGTTTTGATGACCTCCTTTTCCCTTTCCTTTTCCCTTTCCCTTTTAGTTTAATTTAATTATTAATGTGACTGTGCTCATCTATTGCTCGTCACTTATAAACATGGACCTGACTCAATTGCGTGCAACAGATGTCAGAACCGAGAAGTCGTACACAGATGAGAAGTTCCTGGTTACATCAATGATGTCTTAAATGATGTATCTCTAGAGCCAAATAAGCCAGGCAATGTTATTGTCTTCAATGCGTTTTTGTTCTAACAGGTGCAAAAACTAGAATCAAACCTGAGTCAAGCTTATTTTCTTGATCAGTCCTGTACAGTGAATTAAGCCCCAGGCTAAACCACAGAAGGTTTGAGAATAAAGATGATAGTAAGCAGAGCTCTTAGTTTCAAAGGATTTTGTGTGTATACGTCCTTGGAGTTTTAGTTCTATTTTAATGCAGTTCACAAATGATGAGGGAATTAAGAAACAAAGCAGAGGTAGCAAGATATGACGTGCAATATTCATGAAAAGGGTATCATGCACCAAAAGCCTAACCCTAATCCCACCCCTTAATCAATAAAATTACTTACAAAAGGAAGTATGGGAGTGGAGGCACAAGTGAAAGCAATTAAATTACTAGGGACTCATATGTTGCTGCTTTTCATCTGAGACATAGTAATTAACTAGGTATCCACTTTTGCACACATCAATCACAAAGTAGAAGATGCTATCTTAAGCCAGACAATAGCTCAGCTAATGAGAGGTAACTCACTGCTACCCCAATCATTTGAATTGGGTGACTACAACCAAGGATTTTGTCTAAAAACATTCACCCAGAATCAAAAACTTTTAAAGCAAAGCCTTGAAAGTCAACCATGGTCTTGTCCTAACCTACTCAAAACTCAGCTGATTTTCTTATACATTACAAACTGCAACAATAGATCAAAAGCTCTGAGGATTTTTGAGGAGCTGAGCCTGAGCTAAGGTTTGCTCATAAGGAGTGTATTTACATCAGAGCCACTTGCCATTTCAACTGGGTGTCGCTTTCCAGTTTCATCAAGGGCCCTGTCTTTATCCACATCTGCCCCAAAATAAATAGAGCATACAGTATTTAAAAAAACTTTTTAAGATGGATTAAGGAGATACACAGAAAGATCTGCACAGTTCAAATGATAGCTTCTCTGCACCTGAAAGCTGATTCATGTGAGGACAGGTTGCAGACTGAAAACAAAGCCAATATTTCCAAATAACTTTGGTATGCGCTTATTCTGAAATATACTTTTTACTTCTTAGCCTAATCAAGTTAATTTCAAACTATGTCGAGCTAAGCATAATAACTACCTACTTAAAATATGGTAACATCATTCACAGGAGTCTTCTTGCAAAATAAGTACTGTAAATTAAATAATTTCAGTAGTAGATCACACAGTAACTTTGCTCTGTAGACAAAAGCTAAAAAGCTAAACAAATTGACCGACTTGATATATTTAAAATAACTTTGGTGCCCTCTTGATTTTGAAGGTAGGAAGGCTAAACAGAGTTCTTCTAGACTCTCTTCTCCCCACACCAAGTAATCAAAAAAAAAAAAAAAAGGAAGCCATCTTCCCCATGGTTTCAGTTTAATAATAAAAGAAATCTACTTCTAGAGAAATAACATCAAGAATTTAGGATTTTTCTTTTCTACATCATCTTCTAGAGCCACATGACCCAAGAAGAATCTCAGTTTTCTAGCTGTCATGAATGCACAGAATATCTTGAATGGAAGGCAAGTTCAGAAGGAGCAATTCTTGTCCTTGTTTTTTAACCGGAAAACTCAGAATACAGATATTTTAAATGCCTTTCCTTCAAAATGTGACCCTTAAATACACACAAACAAAACACCCAATAAACAGAACTCTGCATTTTTTTCAATTTTCTGATTTCTAAGTGAAGTTATTTTGATAATTTGAATCACAATCTCTGGACACTAGGAGCTGGAACCAGAGCTTAAAAGAAAAACTGGTTTCTGTGCTCCTTGGTACCAAATCACAGTCACATATATTTCTTCAGCCTGTAAGGAACACAGCATACTACCCAACCATGGCTGAAGATGTGCATCTAGCTTTATTACATTTTATCCCTACTTGTTATCACATCCACACTACTGGAAAGGCAGTGGAGAATGGGGAGGAGAACACGTGCCTTGCTGTAGGGGTCAGGGGCTGTGCATCGTTTATTTAAATGATTACAGTGAATTGGCTGCAGTCTGACATATGTGTGTTCCCAAAGGGATTTTTCCTAGCACATTTTGTCCAGCTCTTACCTGTTTCTTCTGGGCTTGATCCAAAACCAATAAAGTCCACTGGAGGCTTTCAATTCAATTCGGAAGGCTTTGAATCAGGCCATTTACTGTGTTGCAACAAAAATTTGCAGAGCACAATAGAGACCACAGAACACGTGTGTGGGCCTGAATCAAGCCAGTGCACTTTGCAGTGGAGGAAAAGGGGTGATTTGGGGTTTTTTTTTAAATCTACAAGTCTTTCTGTCCGAGCAGGGGGCCCGCTTTTCCTTTCCGACACCTCCCTTCTTCTCGCTGTCGATGCTCAAGTCCAAAATTTGGCCGCCTGTGCAGCAAAATGCCAGCCA